GGACTCTCCCACTCCCCCCTCCCAAATACGCACACACAGTCACTTTAATCAGTCTAAATAAGCTCTTTTTGCACTACAAATCATTATATCTGCACTGTTGTTTACTTCACTGGTTTGCACTCTATCTGCCATGTGCCTTGTGCTCCTTTATATATATTTTTTATATATTTTTTACATTTTACCTTATTTGTATAGTTGTATTTTATATTTAATCTGTATATCTGTATTTATGTTCTACTGTTAGTGTTATCTGTATGCACCAAGGGTCTGAGAGTAACGCAATTTCAATTCTCTGTGTGTATGTGCTGTACATGTGGAAGAATTGACAATAAAGCAGACTTGACTTGACTAAAACAAAAAGATAAACAAATGATAAAGTTAATGAATATTAGATTCCTTTACAAAAGCATTTTTTTGTAAATGATATGATAACTGATCAATCATAACCTAGATGTGCTCTGTTTGACAGAAACCTGGCTAAAACCAGATGATTACATTACTTTAAATGAGTCTACCCTCCAAGATTACTGTTATAGAGATGAGCTTTACCGTCCAAAAGTTAAAGGGGGAGGTGTTGCTACAATTTATAGTAATATTTTCAGTATTTCTCAGAGGCTGGGTTTCAAGTATAATTAGTTTGAAGCAATGGTGCTTGATATAACACTATCTAGAGTAATAAGTGTTAATGATAAATCCCCTGTGATGTTTGTACTGGCTACTGTATACAGGCCACTAGGGCACCATACAGACTTTATTAAAGAATTTGCTGATTTTCTATCTGAGTTAGTGCTGGTTGCAGGTAAAGTCTTAATTGTTGGTGATTTTAATATTCATGTTGATAATGAAAAAGATGCATTGGGATCAGCATTCATAGACATTCTGAACTCTATTGGGGTTATACAACACATGTCAGGACCTACTCATTGTCGAAATCATACTCTAGATTTAATACTGTCACATAGAATTGAAGTTAATGGCATTTAAATTCTGCAGCAGAGTGATGATATCTCAGATCAACATCTACTGTTGTATACGCCATATAGCTAAAGCTGTAAATTCAACTCCTTGTTACAAGTATGGTAGAATCATCACTTCTACCGCAAAAGACTGCTTTGTTAATAATCTTTCTGACTTGTTTAAATTTCTCAGCATATCCAATAGCTCAGAAAAACTTGATGATGTAACATAATCTATTGACTCTCTTTTCCAGAACTTTAGACACTGTTGCTACTTTGCACTTGAAGAAGATTAAGGAAAACAGTCTGACACCGTGGTATAACGAGCACACTTGCGCCCTAAAGAGAGCAGCTCGGAAAATGGAGCGCAGCTGGAGGAATATAAAACTAGAGGTGTTTCGCATTGCATGGAGGGAAAGTACTTCTACTTATAGAAAAGCTCTAAAAACTGCTAGATTTGCTTACTTTTCATCTCTTTAAGAAGAAAACAAACAAAACACCATGCATTTATTCAGTACAGTGGCTAAATTAACAAAAAATAAAGCATCAACAGGGGTTGACATTTCCCAGCAGCACAGCAGTAATGACTTTATGAACTACTTAAATTCTAAGATCGATACTATTAGAGTTAAAATGATAACCATGCAGCAGTCAGCTACAGTATCGCATCAGATAGTGTGCTATAGATCCCCTGAGGAACAATTCCACTCATTCTCTTCTACAGGAGAGGAAGAATTGTATGAACTCGTTAAATCATCTAAACCAACAACATGTATGTTAGACCCTATTCCATCTAAGCCACTAAAAGTGTTGCTTCCAGAAGTTATCAATCCTCTTCTGAATATTATTCGTCATTGTCATTATGTCCCAAAAACCTTCAAACTGGCCAAAGAATGAGTTAATTACAGACCAATCTCAAATCTCCCTTTTCTTTCAGCAGGAGTGATGACTCGGTGCGTCCCCCACCTCTTATTGCTTGGGGAGCTCGCGGTCGTACCTTGACCCATCGGCCCGTGTAAGCGAGTTGAGCTGAAGCGCACAGATAAACCCGCGGCTTCAGCTTCGTCGAGTTGTTCCTGATCTTTGTGTCAGGAAAAGGACAGCTTCCCCCATTTTGCAAGGGTGGGACAGACCGTCCAAATGTTTCTGTCCTCCCCCGAAATGCTCTCCAAATATATACCTGCTACTTCCACCGCTCGGTGCGTTTCAGGGTGCAGTAATCGGTTGGCCTCACTCTCTCTCAGTGTTGGAGGAAGGAGATGCATCAGGCTTTCTCCCCTCAAAACCTGTTTTTGTTTCAGCTGCTGCTTATAAGATGGGAGACACACGCCCCTACTCCAGTTACTGGCATATAATGTTGGGCATATAGTGTCTTGTAGCCATTGAGAGCATCTTTGGATGGTCAGTGCAGGGCTCAGTCAAAATGTCCAGTGTTGCTGATGCAGCCTGCATGTAAATACAAGTTACTGAAGACACACCGGTTTCAGAGCATCTGAAAGCCTTTTGGGAAATAGAGTCTCTCGGTATCATCATGAAGCAGACAGACAGTGCTGAGGAGGAGAAGGCTCTTCACAAGTTTGAAAAGACAACTCGGTACAAAATGGATGATATGAAGTTGAGCTGCTGTGGCAACCCAACAAGCCCGAACTCCCAGATAACTACAGGATTACAAAGAAAAGATTTGAGGGTCTTAAGTGAAGGTTACAGTCAGATGTAGAGCTGTGTCACCGATATAATAAAGTTGTGAATGATTACATTGAGCAAGGCATCAAAGATGTGGTGAAGGAATCGTCTTCTCTGACCGCTGTGAAATACTACATGCCTCATCATGCTGTTCTCCGTGAAGACAAGGTAACAACAAAGCTCAGAGTAGTGTTTGACGCCTCCTGACATGACACTGGCTCTCCATCACTTAATGACTGTCTACTTACTGGTCCTAACCTGAATCCTGTTCTGCTCAGCATATCAATAAAATTCAGACTGCATGCGATTGCATTGACAGCAGATATAAAAAAGGCTTTCTTGCAGATTTCTCTTGCTGAGAAGATGCGGTGGTTTCCTCTGGCTCTCTGCACTGCCTCATGAAGACATGGGTGAGAAGCTGCATGTGCTACGGATGACGAGGGTCGTGTTTGGAGTTTCCCCCAGCCTATTTCTGCTTGCAGCTACAGTGAGAAAACATTTGAAGGAAAATGAAGCCCAACTTCCTAAGGTAGTGAAGATAATAAAGGAATCCTGGAAAAACCTGGAAATTAGGAAAAATGTAAGAGCTGTTTTACAGATAAGAATAAGACATTAAATTGTCATTTTGCATTATTGACACACTATTTTCCTAATTAATGCTGTTCAGTTGCTTTGACACAATCTGTATTGTTAAAAGCGTTATATAAATAAAGGTGACTTGACTTGACTTGACATTAATAGAAACTGTAAAGGGTTCACTTTAATGGGTCTTTTGATGGTTCACATAAACTTATCCATTCCAATTTAATTTAAATCTAATTGAACATTCTAATTTTGTCGATTAACAGTCAATGATTGGTTAACGAGCGTTGGGAGTCGGTCAGAAAAATGAACCCCAAATGAACATCCTTTTTTAACATCATTTTATGGGGTCCCAATCACGCAGTTTCTGTTGATTGTGTGACTGTGACGTCTCTGTAGCGGCTCCTTATTCACCATCAGCTCATCCTGAGGAAACTGGACTGATGTCTAAATACTGAGAGTCCTACAATAAAACACACAGACAGTCACATATGAGTATGAGACATTACTGCTGCCACATTGCATCAGCAGATCCATTTCAGAAAAAACACAGTATATTCATATTTCAGCCAGAGATATGAACGAACAACTGATCATAGATTAATAACAGTAAATATTCAACCACTACTATCACTTAGAGACTCTGTAAGAGATTAAACTTTTGAAATATTCATAAATGAGTCACATCGCAGAATTAAACCGTTTAAAGTACAGAGACTAAAGTGAAGCTGAATTATCATCTTATATTCTCCAATTTCACACACAGGAGGTCTGTTACTCAATTTAGAAACTTTAAATAAACAAACACTCACAATAGTATAATGTCTCCAGTTTGTAATGTGGATCATCCTTCAGATCAGAGAGTAACTTCACTTCAGATTTTCGTAGTTTATTTCCAGACAGATCCAGTTCTCTCAGGTGTGAGGGATTTGATCTCAGAGCTGAAACCAAAGCAGTACAACCTTCATCTCTGATGCCACAATTATACAACCTGTAGAGAACAATGACACAATGTGAATTGTAGTTCGGGTGTCTGTAGTTTGTTATTGACTCTGGTATCAGAGCAGGAGAGGAGATATAATGACAAGCACTGCCACAAACTGCTGCTGATAGAATGAGATTTATGCATGTTGATGCTCAATGCTGCTGTTTGAAACTGTCATGTGCTTCAGGACTGAACAGACACACAGAGCTGAATGTGAGATATTGTTTCATAGTGAAATTGAGATACTGAGATATTGTTTTATAGTGACGGATTTGTCTTGAGAAACAATCACTTGCTCCTCTAATAAACACCTACAGGAGGACATTTGCTTCATAGGAGCCACCGTGTTCCCCATTACATCTCAGTTATTAACTCTTGTCATCAAACACATCGTGTCATGTTTGGTCTCATCTGGCAGCTTAAAGGGATAGTCCACCCAAAAATTAAAATTCTGTCATTAATTACTCACCCTCATGCCGTTCCAAACCCATAAGCCCTTCGTTCATCTTCGGAACACAAATTACGTGCATGTGTGCATGTGCATGTTTTACATGAAGCGGAAGCAAGTGCTTGCATCGTGATACTCTTTCCCCAATGGCGGCACGCCGCTGCAGACGGGTTGAGGAGGAGAAGAATTGTTGAATTAAGTCGTTATTTTTGTTCTCTTTGTGCACAAAAAGTATTCTCGTAGCTTCGTAAAATTACGGTTGAACCCTGAGCTAAGCTACGTTTCTGGGTCTGGGAACATTTCAGTTGTGTTGCTGTCTATGGAGGGTTCACAGAGCTCTCGGATTTCATCAAAAATATCTCAATTTGTGTTCCGAAGATGAACGAAGGTTCTACGGGTTTGGAACGACATGAGTGTGAGTAATTAATGACAGAATTTTCATTTTGGGGTGAACTAACCCTTTAAAACTGAATAGAAATGTGTTAAACTCAATTGAGATTGTGAATTAGTTGTGTACTCTGCTTTAAAAGTGTGTAAAATGTGTTTTGTGATAACTTTTTTTAACTGTTTATGAGATTTTACTCAAGAATATGGAATACATGGATCGCATTTTTAATGGCAAAATAGCCTGTTCATAATTCTTGAAACTCTCTCATAATGCAAACATATTCAAGTCTGTGAATATGTCTAGAATAACTTTTGATGCTGAATTGTCCACTAACCTAGTTTATAATATATTTTTGTCATAGATAATATATATATATTTTTTCTTTATAATGAATTAGCCTGTATTTAGTTGATTGTAAAAAAATGATTATCAGTTCCACATACAGAGATATTAAAATTCTGCATTGAAAAAAACTGCACTGGTATCGGATCTGGATCTGTATCGGCCAATACTGAACCATAGGTGTCGGAATCGGTATTGGACGTGTCTTGGATATTGATATTGCTATTTACCAGTTTCAATGTTATTTTATTTTGCTTGCTTTTAAATTGATGCCATATGCTTGAATATGAAAGTACCTAAAATGCTTTAAACTACATTGATGTAGAGCTTAGATAAATGTGCATGACTTCCTGTGTTTATGCTGTAGAACAGGTGCAAAAAGTAAATTCATGAACTTAATGTTTGCAACTAACCAGAAAGGTTACTGAGAGGGTACACAGGGCTGCAGAGGAGGTTTAAAACCACAAGCGGAGGTAAAACAAACAAGACTACAGCAAAGAAGAAGAAGAGTGCTAAAAGAAGATGACAGCGTAGGAGAAGATGGAAGGGCATCCGGCAATTGGGCATGAGTCACAGAGACTGATATTGAATTGGAGTTTCCCAAAAAGTAGTATAAAAAGTCTGAGTAAGCCATTCTTTAGATACTGCCTGCATTAAGCGTGAAGGACACCCGAGGCAAAAAAACAGGCAAAAAAGACGGAATGGAGCATCCCTAGTTCCCTTTCGAACGGTCTCTCCCGTTGCGTAACACGCATTGGGGAAAACTCCTGTTTTACTCTGTACTGAAACCTGATTTGTTCACTTTTTTGTAGCTGCACAAACCAATGGTGCTTTAGCCCGCCAGAAAGGGCGGAGGCGACCACTATCCAAGTCGGCTCGGAGCGCCATTCATCAGATCATTCTCCTTCAGCGACGAGGATCATCTCTTCGAAAAAGAAGGAAGAAGCTCAGCCTGCAGCTCGCCACCATAGAAGAGCCCCAGCAGAGGAAAAAGCGAGAAGCTTTCCCCTGTGGCCATCCGGCACTTAAAAGAGCAAATTTCTAAGCAAATTTCCTAGCAACATTGTTTCAAATGTCGCTCCGTGAGTGTGGCTCGTGCGGAAAATCCTGCAGGATGCAGAAGGGCAGTGAGGGCTTCGCCTGTCTGGATTATCAGCACCCCTCATCTAATGAGCGGATCAATCTTTTTAGGCAGATTAAAAGAGAATGCTGTTACCAATGACTATTATCATTGACAGCTTCGGACTAGATACATCTCCCCGCCCAAATCTTTGGCCAAATTGCTGCCCCTATTGCTTAAAACGGCCCTCCTCCTAGCCTTAGCGTCGGTTAAGCGAGTGGGTGACTTGCAAGTGCTGTCAGTTAGCGCTTCATGTCTTGAGTTTGGACCTAACGAGTGTAAGGTCGCCCTGAAACCAAGACATGGCTATGTTCCTATAGTGCTCTCAACTCCGTTCAGACCACAGGTGATCACCCTGTTGGCGCTCTCCATTACAGATGGTGAGCAGGGTACTAACTGGCTCTGTCCAGTGAGGGCACTGAGAGTGTATTTAGAGCACTCTAGCCTGTTTAGGCAGTCAGAGCAGCTCTTTGCTTGCTTTGCAGGCCGCCAGAAGGGACTGCTGGCCACAAAGCAGCGACTCTCTCGCTGGATTGTAGATGCGATTGCCTTGGCTTACGCCTCAGAAGGCTTACAATGCCCTATAGGTGTGAGGGCCCACTCCACAAGGGGGATGGCCTCCTCCTGGGCATGGTCCAGCGGGATCTATATTGGTGAGATTTGTGCGGCTGCTGACTGGTCGTCGCCGTCCACATATGCCAGATTTTATCATTTGGATGTCCCTGCACTACAGGCACGGATTCTCTCTGTTTAGACCGCCATTCTTCCCCCTTGGGTGAAGTTGGTTATATTTGTGCTTATCAGCTACTAGCTTGTAGCACAGTGTGCTCATGTTCTGGGGAATCCTTGTCTAGTGCTCTGAGATTGGGCTCACAGGACAGATTGTTCTGTATCTACTCATAGATTGCGTGATTGGATGCTGACGTAACTTAGGTTCCCTGAAATAAGGGAACGAGCGTTGGGTCACTTTCCGCGCCATAAGCTGCACGCGAATCGATGACTGTCGCTTCAGTCGAACGATCTAATGAATGGCGCTCCGAGTCGACTTATATAGTGGTCGGCTCCGCCCATTCTGGAGGGCTAAAGCGCCATTGGTTTGTGCAGCTACACAAACGTGAACAAATCAGGCTTCAGTACAGAGTAAAACAGAAGTTTTGCCCAATGCGTGTTATGCAACGCTCGTTCCCCTAATCTCAGGGAACCGAGGTTATGTCAGTAACCGGAGTGTTCATTGTGCAAGGAATGAAGTCGACAGAAATGCATACAGACAGTTTTTGTTTGTGAGAACTTGAAACCGTTCTGTGTTGACCAAGATTGTATTTTGTTTATCTTCAGTTGGATTTTATGGTATTTGGTAGTTGATGGTTTTCATGTACTTGCTTCTGTAACAAATGCAGATATCATCTATATATAAACTACAGTGAAAATCAGAACAAATGGCTTTTGCAATGCTGTTTATTTTAATACTAAAAAGCTAAGGCTGAACACTTTATATTTACTTTAAACGTGCTTCATGTGTAAGTCATATAATAATATGATCTTACCTCAGTTTCTCCAGTTTACAGTGAGGATTCTGTAGTACATCAGAAAGCAGCTTCACTGAATCTCCTAGTTTATTCCCAGACAGATTCAGTTCTCTCAGGTGTGAGGAGTTTGATCTCAGAGCTGAAGCCAGAGCAGCACAACCTTCATCTGTGATGCCACAAGTATTCAACCTGTAGAGAACAATGACACACTCTTCACTCTCTCAGATCAAATCAGTTTAGCTGTGAATCAGTTATTAAAGATCAAGTACAAACTTAAAGCACAAATCAATGTTTGATGGATCATTGGACTGAGGTATTAAATGTCACAGAACACAAATCATGATCATAAAACATCCAAAGTCTCATTCAAGAAAAATAAATATTTCTTTATTGAAAGGTAAGTTTATGGCCCAATATTAATACTCCCACCACCTCTACTCCATGTGTTTCTCTGCACAGGCCCCGTGCACCCAAGATGCGATCTTTCTGGTCTCCTTCACTCCAGCGTCGGGATACCACAGACTCTGGGTGCACCAGCAGCGGAAGACGCGAGCCAGGCCCTGGGCGAGGACCTCTCCCCCTCCGCCGCCTCCGGTCTTCAAGATCTCCAGCTGGAACCGCCTCGCCCCTTCGTAAGACGGAACGTGACGCTGTGATCATCGGAGACTCCATCGTCCGGCACGTCCGTGCTACATTAGCTGAAGATAAAGCGCACACTCACTGTTTCCCTGGTGCTCGTGTTCTCGATGTTTCTGCACAGATACCCGCAATCCTAAAGGGTGACGAGAGCACCGGCACTTTCAGGCGTGAAAAACATCAAGCTGCGGCAGACGGAGACACTGAAGAGGGACTTCAGGAGCCTGATCGAGACGGTGCGCAGCACATCGCCTGCGACGAGGATCATCATGCCAGGACCGCTTCCCACATATCGACATGGACATGAAAGGTTCAGTAGACTTTTTGCTCTAAATGAATGGTTATTGTCATGGTGTAAAGAACAGAAACTGCTCTTTGTTAATAATTGGAATCTTTTCTATGAGCATCTTAGGCTTTTTCGTGCTGATGGCCTGCACCCCAGCAGAGTCGGAGTGGAACTCCTGTCGGACAACATCTCCAGGATGCTTTGCTCCATATGACTAGTAAGCCAATTCTCAAATAACTGCTATGATGGCTTTTGTTCTACCCACTTAAATGATAGAAGTACTTGTGTTGTTCAATCTATAAAGACTTTGTCTGTTCCCCAAATATTGTCTGGTCTGTGGGGCCAAAATATAAATCTAATACAGGACCTAGAAAAAAATCTGATCGTGATTAAACCAGAAAATTTGTTCTAGCCACTTAAATGATAGAAGTACTTGTGTTGTTCAATCTATAAAGACTTTGTCTGTTCCCCAAATATTGTCTGGTCTGTGGGGCCAAAATATAAATCTAATACAGGACCTAGAAAAAAATCTGATCGTGATTAAACCAGAAAAATGCAAAATAAACGAACATTAGATCACTCGCACCCAAAGCAGTTATTGTAAATGAAATGATAACATATAATAGTTTTGATGTACTCTGCTTGACTGAAACCTGGCTTAAACCAAATGATTATATTGGTCTAAATGAGTCTACTCCACCAAGCTACTGTTATAAGCATGAGGCCCGTCAGACTGGTCGTGGTGGCGGTGTTGCAACAATATACAGAGAAATTCTCAATGTTGCTCAGAAAACAGGATACAGGTTTAACTCATTCGAAATACTCCAGCTTAATGTTACACTGTCAGATATGCAAAATAAATCTATCGTATCTCTTGCTCTGGCTACTCTGAATAGACCACCAGGGCCGTACGCAGATTTCCTAAAAGAATTTGCAGTTTTCTTCTCAGACTTATTGGTTAATTTTGATAATGTGCTAATTGTCAGAGACTTTAACATTTATGTTGCTAATACAAATGATGCATTAGGACTTGCGTTTACAGACTTCTACTATCAACTTAAGGGTCAAACAAAACATAACCGGGTCCACACATCATTTTAATCATACGCTAGATTTAATTATATCACATGGAATCAATCTTTCTGATATTAATATTGTACCTCAAAGTGATTATTTTACTGACCACTACCTTGTATTGTGCATGCTGCGTATTACTAATATTAAAGGTGCAATAGGTGATTGTCTTCAGAAACATTTTTTGTTATGCTGGTTGAAAGTCTCTTCACATCCCGATAACAATCATTAAGTTAAGTGGTCTAAATGTATTTATCTGTATTTATATATTCTGTGGAAGGCGTATGACCAAGAAATGTTCGTCCACAGTCCTTGCGCCAGCTCGTTAGAAGTGAGTGATGTGCATCAACTGTGTTCCGATCGATATGATCCCTACACAGTGTTCATTGCTCCCTACTCCCTGAGCAGGGGAAATCAGTTGAAGTTTACCTCACTTCGGAACATGGGCTGGAATTGGGAACCGCTGATGTAGCCTATTGTAGTAATGTTGTCTCTAGTATTCTGGTCTGTGAGCGTATATGCGTTCAGGGGGCGTGTCTTTGGACGGCGATTGCAGGGAGGGTGGGACGTTCGCTTTCAGTGCTATCAGGCTAAAGTAAGCATTTTCCAAGATCTCCTACTGCACCTTTAACTATATTGATATCGTTGATATGTTATCGTCTGGGTAGAACTATTGTTCCAACCACTAAAGATAGATTCACAAATAACCTGCTTGATTTGTCTCAACTGCTTTGTGTACCCATAAATGCACATGAACTAGACTAAACGACTAACAATATGGGCACTATCTTCTCTAATACATTAGAAGCTGTTGACATACTGCACCAAGGTACAACAATAATACCAATTATCTCAAGAAAGAAACTTGTAATCTTGAGCGCAAATGGAGAAAAACTCACTTGGAAGTTTTTAGAATTGCATGGAATAGTGCTGTCAAAATACAGACCGTGATACCATTCGGTACTGTAATTTTAAAATCGTCCATTTCCTGCTAACTTTTGAGTGCTGTTGAGCAGATTCTTAAACACCACTGATTGGCCATAGTGTTCACACACTTAAGAGATATGACTGTGATTGGCTACAATGATCATCATCGCTTCACGCTCTTCACCGAGCACTCACACAGAAGCACAGGGGAGCATTTGAAAGCCGCGTCTGTCACTGTTCAATGGAACTCTATTGGAACGACCATAGTTAGCTAATGATGCTTTTGGGAAACACCCCTGGACCATTTAAAAAATAAAAGACAGGATCGTATAGACCCATATATTTAGTTTCGATTTTGATTAATTTATTAAACTGTGGTCTGATTTCGGAGTTGCAGTGATATTAGAGCCTTCATGTCATCTCACTCCACAGGTGTAATACACGTTTTGAGAGTTGAGTCACTCTCCCACTCTTTACCGTGTATTTATAGGCATTGTGATCACTTGAATATAGAGTTATTCATTCAAATATCATAATTTAGTTATACATTCAAAATCTGATCCGTTATCGCGCTAAAAACCCTTCACTCATAAATCATCACGTCTGTCTGGTGATCCCTAGTGATTGGCTATAAGTGTGGGCGTCGACGTCAACATCAGCATCAGCCGCCTCTGCAGTGTTCATGTGTGTTTAGTAACGTTGTGATGACGTTGTGATGATTGGATACAGTACATGCACACTTGGGTTTGTTTGTTAACCAATTAGCTAATACAATTTAGATGTTTGAAAACCGCCAAACTGACCCAAACCAGCCCAAATTTTGTTTACCCGCCCAAGCCAATTTTTACCCGCACAATTAAATTCAAAACCGCCCAACTGATTCAGAATGCAGCGGCACGACTGGTCTTCAATGAAACCAAACGGTCCCATGTCACACCTCTCTTTATCTCCCTGCACTGGCTCCCGGTTGGAGCTCGCATCAAGTTCAAGACCCTGATGCTTGCATATAGAACAGGCACAGGCTCAGCACCCTCCTACTTCCACTCACTTTTGAGAATCTATATCCCCTCCAGAAGTCTGAGATCTATGAGTGAGTGACGCCTCGTGGTACCATCACAGGCAAAAAATCACTTTCCAGAACATTTTTGTGTAGTTTCGTTTCGTTCCTGGCTGGTGGAGTGAACTTCACACCCCTATCTGGAATACTGAATCCCTGACAATTTTCAAGCGACACCTGAAAACTCATCTCTTTCGTCACCATTTGACTTCATCTTAAAAAAAAAACAAAAAAAACTTTGCTTTCTCTTTCCTTAATCTCTCCCTGTCTAGCTTCTACTAATCTGAACAATGCTTTGTATTGCAAGCACTTCTTGCGTTTATTTGCCTCTTTATGATGAATCGCTTATTGTATTCCTCAATTGTAAGTCACTTTGGATAAAAGTGTCTGCTAAATGAATAAATGTAAATGTAAATTGGGTGGCACAATCTGGCAACACTGGCCTTAGTTTCTTCATTGTGAGGTTTAGAGCATGCTGCGCTTGTGTGAAAGGGCTTTAACGGCGTGCATTCTGGAGACTCGCTGCTATGGAAACAAAGACGCAAAAATGCAATCATGCGTAAATGAGCTTCTCTAATACTTCTTATAAAATTGATTTAATTATAATTGCTATTAGTATTATAAACAGTGAAGAATACTTATTTGTTGATTCAACTATGCGTTGGCCTTTGTAAAATACAGGACAAATCGCGTCCCGTATTGATTTCAAATGGGACACATCATTTTACCTTTAAATACGGGAGGATTTCGCATTTTAAGGGATGGGTGGCAACCCTACCAGCTATAGACAGGCTCTAAAAGCTGCCAGGGCTGAGCATATCTGCAAACTCGTAGAAAATAACCAAAACAATCCAATGTTTTTATTTAGCACAGTGGCTAGATTAACAAATTATCAGATGTCACCCGAACTAAATATTCCTTCACAGTTGAGTAGTAATGATGTTATGAATTTCTTCATGAATAAAATAGCATCAGAAATACAATAACAAATGTAGAATCTACAGCGTCTTGTTATTCAGTTTCACACCTAAAGAAAAATTGCAGTGCTTCACAACTATAGGAAAGGAAGAGCTAATTAAACTTAGCATTGCATCTAAACCAACATCATGTTTATTAGATCCTGTACCCACTAAATTACTGAAAGATTTGTTACCTGCTGCAGAAGAACCGCTTCTC